TATGTATTACTCAAACAGATTAATTTTTAGGAATCCTTCTGAATATTAGATTAAAAACTATGTTTTACTATGTAAATGTTTAGATTTTAGAGTAAGAGGCAAATTTACCTCTATACCTGTACCAAGGAAAGTCGGAAGCTACTCTTTTTTTTTCTTGTGTCCCTCCCCCTTTTTTTCTCCTCCCCTTTTCCCCTTTTTCTTGATTTTTCTGTATTTTAACTTTTGTGGAAAACTTAATAAAATTTACAAAAGAGAAAAGAAAAGAAAAAAAGAAAGTGCCAGCTTAGAGATAACCACTTCAAATTTCCAGATAGCAAAGATGCAGAAAATTTATCCTTTGTGATCTCTCTTTCCAAGATGGTGACTTGCCTTTGTTTGCATTATCCAAGTCTTCTTTGCCAAATACTAGGCCATATCCTTGAACAGCACCTGTGTGAAACTGCAGGCGGAAAATGTTACCACGAGTACTAGACTGGTACTCTTTATGGTAGCACTTTAGCTGAAATAAACAAATAAATAAATAAATATACAAACAAACATCCATACATCTCCAGCATTCCTGCAGCTTCTAAACAACAGTTTTATGATCAGCTAACAGATGCATAGTAAAGACAACAGAAGATTGATTAAGACCTGGGAAACCAAGATACAAAATGGCCTAGCCATAGAGTGCATTTGATGGTCTTTGGCAAGTCACTTTTCCTCAGACCAAAGTGCCTCTTGATATTATTGTTAGCAGAATCAGGGAAGGATGGGGTAATGGGAGCAATTGTCCCCAGGCCCAGACATGAAACAAGACCCATCTAAATTACAGTTCATAATTTCAAATGATCAGATAGATATACAGTATAGTTTTCACTTAACAGAGTAAAATATATCAATTAAACAATATTTCCAGGAGTTATTTCAGTATTCATTCCTGATTCCTTTAATCACTCCAATAGAAAATGGGGAAATTACATTGTTTCTGGATGCAGTGAGAAGAAAACCAGACAGGGGCTCAGATATACAATGTCTCTTCTCCCCTTTTATGCAGACCTCATTCAGATTCAAAGTGGCTATAGTTGTAAGAATCAAATCAAATCTGCCATCTTACCGATTAAAAAACTTTTCTGGTAGTTCTTATGGTCCCTATATTATCCAGATTATACTGTTAACCTTCTGTCCAGTGATATTATAGCAGGAACATGTGAATCTAGTTCTCTCAGAAAATGGTGTGTTGTGTTTGACCTGAACTATTTTCATTGGTTCTCCGGGCAGGATGCTCCTCCATCAACCATCTGCCAATATTTTCAGATGGAAAACTATATGGGAAGGAGAAGGATGTAACACAGTCTGGCAAGCTTGCAAATAATTAGCCTATGGAGGACCATCCAACCCTAGGACTACTCTTCCTTCTGCAGACTTTAGGTAAAATTAACTAGAAACAGGTGTGTACTCAGAGAAGTAACAAGAGAAAGAACAAGGGTATTGGGTCATATTCCTGTCCCAAATGAGAAAGATCCAGTGTAGTTTAGTGGTTAAGCTGATGGACTAAGAGCAGGAAGACCCAGGTTCTAATCTACTATCAGTCTACTTTGAAAGTGTAAATTGGTGGGTTAGCAGCTGGCCTAATGCCTATTCCCAAAAGCCCCCCTCCTTTTTTCCTTCTTGTGTGTAGTTTTCAATTGATTTTTTCCCCTGTTGATCAATGTCTTGTGGTAGGAAAAATGTTCTTCATTTCAACTGTATATGCTACAGCATATTTTAAGGTATTCGTTACCGGGGATATCAATGTAGAGAATTCTGGAATGCAATAAAGTGACAAACAAGCTGAGACGTGAACTGCTCAGTTCTGTTGATGGACTGAGTCAGGACGGTACTATTCTATATTTATACTCTTCTCACTGAAAAAATATGTATCCTGAAGAATCACAGTCTATGTCAAGAAGATGCATAAACTAGATTTATGCTTTCTGTAACTAAGTCACAGGGAGAAAAACGAATAGTTGCTTTTTAAAAACAGCAAGAGTAGAAATTCCCAGAGAGGTGAATTCTTTGCCTAAGCTCACATTTAATATAATTAGTGCAAGTATCCTGCAACTATATTACAAGTTATGAAAATTTAAGCAATGTACATAATGTGTAGTCAGGACATCATTTTTTACAATTTACATCTGAAAATACTCCTCCTGTTTTGTGATTTTCCATATAAAATGAAAAATATTTTTAATATTTAATATAACAGAAGAATATCTCATCTTCTTGACAAGGAGGCATCACCTCTGAAGGTACAGATCTACCACTTGGCTGTCTTTCTGAATTCACAGGTCCTGCTACAGCAGCAGAGGAACCATGGCCAGAGCAGCCTTTGCTACAGCTGGTGTGCCATGTGTGACCTTACCTTGTCTAAGAGGACCCTGCAATAGTAACCTATACTCACATTGCCACCCAGTTAGCCTATTGCAATCGACTCTACATGAGCCTGTCTTTAAAAATTACTCAGATTTGCAGTTGGTCCAGAACATAGCAACCTATGTGCTAACTGGCACCCAGCACTGAAAGATACATACATACTGAGTCCCGTACTGGCTTCTGATTGACTTTTGGTCCATTTTAAGGGTCATTTTTGACCCACAAAGCTGGGTACCTGAGTATCTGCAGGACCCTTTGCTCCAACCAGAATCAGTCTAGCCTATAAGGCCACTGTGGGAGAAATTGCTTATAGCAACCACACTCCACCCTGCCATACACACCCTTCAAAGTGTAAAAGGAACTGGACTAGAAGGTGCTGCTTCCTCTGGAATAGTCTCCCAGTTGGAATCAGACTTGCTCCTTCTCTGATTGCATTCAGAACAATGCTACAAAAGGAGTTATTTTGCAGGGCACTATAGGTGACATCTTGCCATCAATGTATTTTTACTGTTTAATATTGAATTTCTTTTTAATGATATTATTGTTTTAGGTGTTTTAAACTGTATTATGGATGTTTTAATGTTGCCTTTTTCATGCAAACAGCCAACAGCTGTTTCTGATTGTAATGGGATATAAATGCAAGAAAGAAAGCAAGTAAGCACCAGCTAACCAGGGTAAAAAAAAAAAAAAAAGAGTAGATTTTGGAATCAGTCCTTTCTTGCAGCTTTTTGCTTGAGTTCATCTTCAGAATATTAAACCTGCTAACATTAGCATAATCTATATGAGCTGAGTAACACTAACATAAATATGAACTAGTATATTCCTTAAATGCCTCTAGAACTTATTTTCTTCCTCTGAACTCTATCAATTATCCAAAAGAAATTTTATGGAACACTCACCATAATATCTCCCTTCAACAGCTGGGCTGGTTGAATTGCGATGCAGACCCTGCTTAGATTCTCTGGCCCTATACTACTTAAAAAAAGGAAAGAAAGAAAATCATGTGAGTAATGTATTTGAAATATTCACAGAAGAAAATCAGTTCAACTCCTACAATTCCAAACAACTTACCCTTATGAATTATTACATAGTAAAGATGCAACCCTGCTAAGTCTGTACTACCATGCACATTAGAACCTAAACTGTGTTTTGCTATGGGACAACATTCAGCTTTGTGATCTGCACAACATAACTCTGAAATAATATGGTACATAGAGAAGGCACACATCGGAAGCTGAAGTGTTTGTTTCTACTTACTATACTCCTGATGTATAAATTGGCTGCATGCCCTCATACAGCTTCAGAAAGGGTTGACAACCTGAAGGGGGGAAAATATTACATTTACAAATACCTAAACATTCTTAAGGAACACGGTGAATAACATTGAAACTACTCTTGGTGAACATCCAGTGGATACTCTGGTTTAGAAAAACAATTGACCCGAGTGCTAGGAGCACAGAGTAAAAAGCGTAAAGGCACAAAATAACAGGTATGTTGCTCTAGCAAGCAATGGCCATACAGTGCTTGGCTCTTGGGAACTGGTGCTATTACCTACTGTTTGGTTTGAGTGGACTGACATGTGCGTACCTCTTGATGTAATGAGAGATTAGCCAGCAAGAAGAAATATTACCCCAGGAAGAAGTCACTGGGAGTTGGGCTGCATATAAATTTAATGAAATAAGTAAGTAAGTAAGTGGCAGCAGCAGCAGCAGTATACTGGTCTTCATGGCCATTAATGCCATGAAGAATGGTTCCACTTGGTATCTCTTTTAAGCTTAGCTTGCATAATAATGAAAGGAACAATATTTGTGAAGACTGTCAGAGTATATAATCTGTTGGGAAATTTTTACATACAATCTCCTGATAACAATATTCTGGAGAAGGTTTCCCAGTTATTTTAGAAAGCCAGAGGCAACTTTAAGATTCTTTCTCAGTCATTAGGGGAATAAAAAGTGGGAAGACGAAATGACTGTGATCAAATTTTTATAGCCAACATGACAGTTAACAGGGATTTCAACAAGACAAGCATACACAGCAGGATAAGCAAAGACACAGAAGGAGATTTTGCCTCTGGCAACAAGTAATGATGAGGAATAAAGAAGACTGCAGTCAAATAAATAAATAAAACTCTTACCTCCACTAACCCCAAAGTTTGGGATTCCATGTAGGATAACATAATGTAGAAGACGAAATGACTGTGATCAAATTTTTACAGACAACATGACAGTTAACAAAAATTTCAACAAGACAAGCATACACAGCAGGATAAGCAACGACACAGAAGGAGATTTTGCCTCTGGCAACAAGTAATGATGAGGAATAAAGAAGACTGCAGTCAAATAAATAAATAAAACTCTTACCTCCACTAACCCCAAAGTTTGGGATTCCATGTAGGATAACATAATGTAGGAATAGAGGGGTTGTGTTCATTTTTACAGATCCAGAGAGAAGGCCACTCAGAAACTGCACATACCTAAAAAGGAAAATTGTTTTGGGAAATGAGTAGTGCAAATACAGCAAGCAGAAGAAACCTGTACTGTAGTTTATTATAAAGAAAACAATAACACTGTTAGCGTCACTTTGATCAAGTGCCTGACTCTGTCCTTGGCTGAACATAAAGTGCAATATAGTAGTATATTATGGCTTCCTTTGTACATGCAACTAGTAACAGGGAACCACATCCTTATGATGCAATATCATACTGCAGAAGAAAGTGTAGTGCAGTGGTTAAGCTTTTGGACTGGCAGTGGGGAGATCCAGTTCAAATACACCCTCCATCATTTTTAAACTCACTGGATGACTTATTGCCCATCGACCTACCTCAAGGGGCTGCAGGGAAAAATGGCACGGGGAGGAAAGAGTGCTCTGTACTGCCTTGAGCTCCCGAACAAAAGGTGGGATATACTGTAAATCTAACAAATACATTAGCAGAGCTCTGTGCTTTAACAATGCAATGATGTGCCAAGGATGATTGCAAGGGTTTTTTTCCAGGCAAGCAGCAGCCTGACAGGCAGAAAAGGACTAGATCACTGTCCATTGGGATGTAATATTTCTATTCTGTGAAGACATCTACAAAGTGAATTCCACATTCATAGATACTATCCAAGCAGTAAAGTGAATGCATGAACAGCAGAGAGATGCGGGATGACCAAGTGCACACCTGATTCTCCCCTGTCCATACATTTTGAATAGTTTCAAAACATAAGAAGAAGATTCTTTCAACTGCAGACATGGGCTATATGTGGGAAATTCCTTTTGCCCATAAAAGTTCAATTTCTTCCCCACTCTTTTTTAAAGTAGTTTTCTCTTCTTTCCATTTGTGTAGATGTGTTTGTCTTTTTATAAATTTTAATTATGTATTTATTTGTTTTAATTTGATGTAAACCGCCCAGAGTCCCCCACTGCAGGGAGATGGGCAGGGATAAGTCTATGTATAAATAAATAAAATAAATACCCCAAAGAAGTATGTGCTATACATTAAACATGAAGCATGCATAATCTTCCTTATCTAGTTTCTCCATTGCTACAAGACACAATCTACAAATGCCATTCCAAAGGCTTCAGATTCTTCTAGATAGTAATTGATAAAAGGAAAACGGTTTAAAAAATCAGAATGCTTTAGACTGCACAGCCCATATTGAAAAGGCGTCGTTATTCTTTTTGCTCCCACACCGCTGCTCATCTGTGCCCTTCTGGATAATGTTTAGAAGCACACCAAACTTTTTAAATAATGCATTTATTTGTAGAATGATTTGTTTATTTGTAGAAACAGAGCTGAGTGAGAAAAGCTTTTCAGGCTAAATATTTATTACAGTATAAAGTCTCAAGGGGATATGTGTTTCTTTTTCCATGTCAACAGCAGCTGTGTAGGTCTCCAGAGAAAAACAGCAGCTCACTGGGAAAGGTTTTATGCAGTGAGAGACAAACAGATGTATTGCCAGCCCTGGCTTTCTATCCAGTTACTACTAAGGCATTCACTCTTTAAACAAGTTCTAAACTTGTTGAATGCCTTCTGATAAAAGAGATGGATAACTATGGCTACCAAATCAAGCTACCAACTAATTCCCCATCATCCTCTACTTTTCCTATCAAGCAATGTGATATTAAACTACAAATAATTTATCCAATCCAGTTTCTCTTCCATTCTGGTCTTAAAAGTCAATTTATTTTGAATTTGTACCACCAATTTCCACCTGAGTTCCAAAGCGCCCCTCCTCTTAAACCCAGCATAATTTCTATACGGTCTATATTTCTTGCTTCACATTCAGAAAACTATGAGCACAGTGTATGGCTATTTAGAGAAGCATGCAACTGCTCCTGTAGACTCCAGCCTGCTAGCCCAAACAAATCTCCAGTGGCAACCAAGAACGGGTTTATAGTTCATTTATCTGGCTTGGTCATTCCTTATTTAATATTATCATATCATCTGCTGTGATATCTACAGTATCACAGGAACAAACCTAAAACAAGCTATTAAAACACACACACACACACATACACACATCCCTAAAGTGCTCTAAGTTTTTTTTCCTGGTGAATAGCAAAGGTCGAAGTTATGGGCAAACAACATGATAAGCATATAACAAGTTGGCAGTGATCTTTGGAGAAGTATGTGGGATAATGGGAAAGAACCAACTGGCATGATCAGATGCATTTATAATTTATTATAATCTATATATAACAAGTTGGCAGTGATCTTTGGAGAAGTATGTGGGATAATGGGAAAGAACCAACTGGCATGATCAGATGCATTTATAATTTATTATAATCTATGCTTGTTATGTGATCTGAATGCATCTTTATTTTTTTTTGAAGAAGTGAGCTTGTTACCACAAACAAACTGGGATTCCCTTTCATACAAGGTATACTATGTTGGTTAGCATCAACAACACCTATCATCTCAAAACCAGTGTTATCCTAATACCCACGTTTAAATCTGGTTTGGTTATTTTCCAGAACTATATTGGCTGAAAAAAAATACAATTTCTTTAGTAACTATATAGAAATAATTACTCTACAATAAATACAAATGTGCACCGATGTTAATTACTGTGGGTAGAAACTGTACAACCCACAAGAACTAAATCTGAGGACCCAA